AGCAATTTTGGTACATTCAAATTTTCGAACTACTTCAAAAATATTCATTTAAGGAAATACCACGTGTTTTGTGAACTTTAAGAGTGTGTAAGTACTTTTAGTGATCTCCTCTTGGTTGAACAGTTAAAAAGAAAAAATTGCATAATTTGTCTATGTACTTACTTACACCTGCTGAAAAAATAGTCCACGAAGAGTGTCCAACAACGAGCTGAGTCTATAGAGCCTACTATAACTTCAGTAGACTCTGGCTGAGTGGATTATTATATGAGAAACTAATGCCAATGGATTTATGAAAAGCTGCATGTATGGACTACCAATTGAGGCAGTTTCAGTTAAATAATTATATGAAATTTTATATCATTTCATTGTTGTACCGAAAGTTGGCCCACATTTAGTTATTTTAAAAGAAATGTTCCAGATTTTAGAGGAATTTTTCGAAAGAAAAAAAATCCCTTTATATCATGGTTTTGTTCGTCTGTCGGACTGTTCGGCTGTACGTCTGTTTCTCTTCTAACTCGAAAACGAAGAGAGACAGCGATGTCAAACCTTCGCCAATCGATTTCTACGAGCTCAAGTATCAGTGCTATTGAATATGAATCGGATCAAAAGTTCTGAATACGAGCTGAGTAGCACAAAATTCCCCTACTGAAAATCGTATGCGATTCTTCGTATCTTGTTATTTTGTTTGATACCAGTGCCGTAACGATGAGGCATGTGCAACATGTGCAGTTGACCGAATGTTGGCATTTTTGTTTTATTTATTGTATCCATGGTAACTAAGGCAGCCCATGCCAATCAATAAAAATGGATGACTGTAGAAACATGCCATTTCAAATTTCGAAAAATATAATGTTATATGCTATAGTGTATATATTTATATAAAAATATGCATTTATGAATACATCAATGCAATCAGGAAAAAGAATGTGAAACATTGCCGTTAAAATATATAGGGTGTTGCATCTCAGAAAAAATTCATAAAAAGGCACTATCTTTAAAAGTAGCTGAAATACGCTGCAGTCTCAACCAAAATAGGACACACGGTACATATTTATCCATCTTTGGTGCAAATTTTAGGGCATATTTTTGAACAATTTTATATGGATAATTCCTCTTATCCACTTTTACTCTAAAAACTTCCATATGTTGCATTCTAGGACAATTTTAAGTGACATATTAAACAAACTGTTTCAAAAAAACTTCTCGGGCGTGAACTCGGCTAAAGTTCAAGGACGTTTATTGTATCATCATTGTTCAAACTGGAGTAAATAAGGTATCGTGATTTTTTTGAATTTTTTATATAATAAACACATGAAATTGAGATAAGTTTAAAAAGAAAGTCAGTGGCAATATAATTAGTCAAACGTTCAACAGAAAATATTATCCAAATCCACATGTCCGCTTTGTTTAGGTATAGAATAAATACTTTCTGTAAAAATGAAAGTGTATTTTATTGTGATTCAATTATAAGGTAAATTAAAAATATTGCATTCGGTCAAGTTTTTTATTTTGCTACATAATTATTTAGAATTTCCTAAGAAAATCTGTGGAGAGGAAATCTAATTGGAAAGAGACATCAGCAATTAGGTATGTAGGTAGTAATTATTCAGAAGTTGGGTATCTAACATATTTTCTTTTGAAAATTAACTGTTCAAACCAATATAGACAACGCGAGCGATAAACACAGAAAGTTCACATGACCAAAATTTAATCAGTTAGTCCCTTGACCATTGTCTACCTATTACTGAGAACAGAATTGTAATATTTGAAACAGGATTTAAAACCGTTTGCGAGTTATCATGTATACAGACGGACGGATGGACAGGACGTCCAAAATCATGAACAAGCTTTGTCGTTCGTTAATCATGTCTAATCCTTTTGTGGTGTGGATATTTAGTTGGATAAGTAGGTAGGTATCGTTTTATAACCTAGTTATAGAGGTACCTATTTTACACAATTTTTGTATTTTGAGTGTTTAAGCAAATGTTTACATACCGATGTGTATATAAGTTAGGATCGATGTTGCAGAATAAATGTTAGTATAGGTACATTTCATTTATATTTTTACATTTGGGTACTTTCATGTAATATTTTACTGTTTTCTCTGAGACGGAAGGAATTACTTCCGAAAGTTTGGATTTTCATCCAAAAAGTTTATTTGCTGGTAGGTATCACCCCATTTATAATTCAAACATTAGCTTTAATTGTGGTGTAGGTACACGTTCTTTGTTTTTAATGTTGTTGCATTAGATCACTTTAAGTGTAAAATAATAAATAGTTAGTACCTAGTTTGCTATATGAAATAGGTACTAAAATAATCGGTATAGGCATCATATTTTAAAATGCATACCTAGGGATAGGTAAATCCAGTGCATAATATGACATTATTTTGAAACATCAGAGAAAATTGGGTAGCTACAGGATATTAGTTAACTGTAATTTAATATTAAAAAATAATACCCTTATGTTATCACATCCCCTTTATAGCGAATACACCATGCATCAAAACGTGTACAACTAGAGTGCCTTGAGAACCTTAATATGCAGCGGTTAACGATGCGTATGCCTTAATGAATATTATTGCAACCTGCAAGATTGCTTCACAAACTACGACAGTATAAAACATATTAAGGAAGTATATACCTCTATACGTATCCCTGCACTCACCCTTCCAAGTGCCCGGCGTCGTTTCATATCATCCGTCGTCTCTCATTAAACGCTTCAAGTGGCAATTAGCTTTTATACAAAGTGAGGTTAATATTATATGACATTCATGTTAGGTACTCCTCCTTTGAATTTAGGTACGTTTTGATATACCTACAATCTTTCTTGCATTTTCTTTCTTTCCTAATTGATTAATTACATCAGGTAATTTGTTATAATTTCTGTATTTGGTGTTAGTCGAGCGCGATTGAATGTGTGCGTGTGTGAAATCATCCCTTTTTTAATGTCTTTAAAGATACTTCAGCAGAAAAATAGGGGGCAAGTAATGATAAAAAGACAAACAATGAATAGCGGCTCACGCGTTGAATGGAAACCATAAAGAGTGAGGTATTTGTTCAGGTGTTATTAAAAAAGAACTTTTTGTTATCCTTTGCAGTTCAGATTGTGAGATGCTTTTACAGTTGAAACAATGCGATTTGCTCTAATTAATTTTTTTGTGAATCTCAGTAACGGTACTGCTACCGCTGTTTATTACCTATACAGGGGCGTTGCATCTCATGTATGTCAGAATTACCCCAATACGTGTTTAATACATTAGCCGCAGCTGACAAATCCACTTAAGTTCAAGTTCTGTATTCAGACAACTACATTTAACCGCCATATTGCGGGCGTGTGTTGTTTTTTCGATGTTTATATGTCGTTCCCGCCTCCTTGGGTGATTCATGATGTAGATATTGGAAGATGCCTTCTCTTTAAATTTTACTCATTTTGGGCTTTTAGATGTAGGTACAATTTCCCAACTTTGTGGTCGGAATAGAGCTCACCTATTGTTAATGACGAGATGTCTATAACTTTTGATTTTTGAATAAATGTGTACCTATTGGTAAAAAATTCGGCTTTTATTGAGTAGTTTATAAGAAACGCTCAGTAGCTGTAAGTAGGTAACGATGTATAGCTAAGTACTGGGGACCAGGTCGTTTGTTTCAGTTCTTAAAATATTAGAGAAATAGTTTAGATATCATTACGTATGCATCAATTTTCTTAGAAAAACGTCTATCTTCATCTAAATTTGTTGTTTATATTTCTTTGTATCTGGCTTTATACGTTCTAAACAGACTGAAGATGATTTAAATGAGCACTTGAGACTAACAATCAATGAATTTTATGGAACGGTAATGGGATCATGAAAATAGGGGAAAAGCTCAAGAGGAACTTACGAGGGGTTTGGGGAACTTTAGGGAAAGTTATAGGAAACATGAAGGGAAAAACTTAACGTGCTTTAGAGCTTGAGATAAACTTGAATTCTATGAAACCTAGAAAAGTTCAGCGAACTTTGAGAGACATTTAGCAAGAAGTTTTGAGAAGTACGTGAAAAACTTGAAAGGGATGAAAAGAGAAATTTGAGGAAATTTAGAAGAACTTGAAGGAAAGATAAGAAAAACATTGATGGAATTTGATGGAAAGTTGAAAGAAGATGAAGGGAAAAATAAGAAAAAATTGAGAAGAAATTACAAACAAAGCTTGAGGGGAACGTAAAGTTAAAAAATACGCTAGAAGAATTTCAGAATCAACGTTAGGAAGCGGAGCTGTGGAAGAATTATTGCCAGCTTGAGGTGAGCTTTGCTTATCTCTAGAAAAATGAAGAAGAAATCTTCTTGTAGTTTTAAAATGTATAATTTTCCATTCCTAAGAGTAGTTTAGGTTGCCAATACGACATCTCTTTCCTCTCCTCTCTAGTTCCTTTTTTACTCAAATTATTTAGCTTGCATGGAAGTATACTACTCAATACTTCACTAATTTTTTTTTTATAATACTCGTATCAAGAAATTGTATATATCAAACAATTGAATTTATCTCACTGAAATAACCTTTTTCTCGTTTTTAACGATCTTGCACCGCAAACAAGGTCTCTCCTTAGTTACACCACTGGGAAATCCCAAGTCCCGACCTTGTAACAAAAACAAGCTACATCACTGAGTACTCTCAGGCCACCACCTTACACCATAATAATCAAAGTTACTTCTTAGTTACGTAATTTTCTTGCCGGGAAAATCCCAGGGCACGACCTTGCTGAATAAAATCATAAAAAAGGCCACTCCTTAGTTACCTACTGCTTGGTCTACAATCCCAAGTCACGACCCAAACCGGGGGAAGAGAGAGATGCCTAATTTTTACTTGTATTTTTTAGAGATTTTTTTTGAAAAATTAGTATAATTGAATCTATTGGAAATTTCTGACACAATTAAATGCAATACAACGAGCTCAATTTACCTAATGAGTTTGTTTTTTAAATATTTTTTGCAACAAAGCATGGGTAATTTGGTGCATTTAGATACCTTGTTTGAAGAAACATCAGTGTCGTCCTTCGCTTCCACTCAAAGACATTTTTCTTTAGACATCCACCTTATTTTCCATATTCGATCATTTTCATGGGTTATATTATCATAGCGATGAACCTATCATGTGTTTCTGCAACAAAGAAGCCGTTTCAGAGATTTCAATTTAATATTTGTCTTGTTTGGTACTATAGCCACCGAGCAACCCGAAAGATGAAACCCCGAAGATTAAATTTTATTTCTTGTAGTTAACATTAACAGTGAAATAGGTAACTAAATTTATTAAAACGAAGAAATAGCTAGATTGGAATGTATTATAACGAATGCGCTTTGCATGTTGTAAAAGTTTGTGAGCGGAATAAATATTCTTGAAAATATTTGAGCATACAACAAATACATTTTAGCTTAGAGTAGGCAAGGATTCAATGGCAACAAAGCACGTCCACCATTATAAAAGGTGGAAATATTTACAGTGTATATTTGGAAAAAAGAATTTACATCACAGAAAAGAGCTATTCGCATGGAAATGTGAATTCTATGCAGTATTGTCGACCGCCGATAAAATATAAGATGACAACAATAGCTTTTAGTTTGGAAGCTCGTTCGAATCGTTTGACATTTGATGTATCGAAAATGGGGTATTGGCCCGACTTAGTATATGCTAACGATAAAGGATGTCCGGTTGTTCTATCTTAGCAAACGCGAATAAATAACCCATTATTAGACGTCGAAATTATATGAACTTTACGTGATTGATACTTTCTTTTTTTGTTTTTCTCTTTACGATATGTTCTGCACCCTTCCCTTGAAGTTTCAAAAACATTTTATGTGCGTTAAAAATGTAATGCAGATGTGATTAGGTCGATATGCACCCCCTTCTTGAAGTCATCACGCATGGCCGAGTCTAATGCTTTAATAGCAGCAAACATATTGCTTAATTCCACGCTAGTTGCGACTGTGAATAAAAACGAGAGAATGTGAATGAGACCTACAAGTACCCGCTAATAGCGCTTCTCCCTATTACTGCGTACTTATGTCGATGATTTATTATCGTTACTAAAAAAAATATGTTCAGTTGCACAATTTGGTTGCCAAAAGTGAGTGCCTTTGAATAAATCAATTATCATTTGAAATAATATCAATAATTTGAAATAGGGTTGCACTATTTCTAGCATTATATAATTTAAAAATATGACTGTTGTCACCATCGCGGAATTTCCGGTCCATCTGCGGACCTTTGGATATGAATAAGAAAAATGTTCGTGGCTGAGCGGGATCGACAAAAAACAATTTACCCAAAATCGTACTGAAAGCTTCATTTTCATGCCTACTTTCTGTCAGGAAATTTTAGTTTCCATGACAGAGGCAAACCAGACTACTTTTCCTGCTGCTCCGTCATGGAAACAAATGTATGTCAGATCACAATCCTTTTAATTTTTTCAGAAAGGTAACAACATTATTTATATTGAGCTTGTGTGCTAAATTATACGTAAGGGAAGGAGTTACGTAAATCAGTGTGAAAGAGCTAAGGAAATAACTGATACTTCACACGGAGAAAAATGGAATGTTAAAATCATATAGTAAAAATTATATTGTAATCAGTACGAGAAGCTATTATTAAATCAAACAAACCTTGACACACGCTGTACAATATGAATATGTCTAATCAAAATTATTCTCACTATAATAATGATATTGTATTAAATATGATCTTAGATATTTAAATATATCCAAGAGCAAATAATAGATAATAAACATTAAAATATAGTTTATTAACGAAATGGGTTTATTATTTGTGTATAATACAGTTTAGTCGCTTTCTTAAATGAAAACCTTGCGGTTGAAAGATTGTTAGTTTAACAACCCATATAATAATTTTTAACATATGATGTAATTGTAATGATGCTGAATCTGCAAGATAAGCATAAGCTTATTTTGAGAACAACCGTTGCAAAGGTTGCATTAAATTATTAAAAGCTCTGTATTGTATATTGTATGCGGTTTTTGTTCAGTCAACAGTCAGTTCAGTGCGTATGTGTATGTGGCTCGCAATTTTGGTGAAGTTTATAGATGAATTCTATATCACTTATAATCATGAGTGATGTTCCAGAGATTTTGAGGGTTGGGCCAATACAATATGGCAGTATAAGTACAACAAAACTGTATTATATTGATTATTATACCTTATTGTTGCAAATATATCATGATTTTTGAACTTATAATTTTATATATTCGAAACCAATATGTGTGTATCCTGATTTTTGGTAAAAAAGGAAGGTTATACACTGCCTTTTTTTGAGCCCGAAAAAAAAATTGTCTCAGATCGACCCGGAAAAAAAATTTTCTTATAGAATGTGGCCTGTAGAATCCATAATTTCAAACAGTTCCAGGATTGGGCTACTAGTTCAAAAGTTACAGCCCTTTGAATTTTTTTTCGAAATTGGTTTCTAGTCTATAACTTTTGATTGAGAAGTCTGATCGAAAAAGTACGAATTGTTTTGGATTTTACGCACCAAAATTAATAAGAATTCCCGAGAAATTTTGATGCAGTCGATTTTTGGCAGGGTGTGTATATTAGTTGCAATAATCTAAGTTACTTATTAATACAAAGCAGAGATGTTAATTCAACTACTCCCGTATTACAAAAGCATGCATATGAGATGGTTGCCGTTACATACAGTTTTTTTGTATGAGTTAAAATTAGCTATACACTTGCAACAATATGTATATGATAAATTTTATAAATCTTTATAGCTATCCCTATACGTATTATATTTTTTGATAGCTATTATTATATTTTTAATTACCTTTAACATACATTTTTCTCCGTGTAGAAAAAGGCTTATTAAGGGAGCACCGAGGAGGCATGCAATACCTAAGTGTAAAGTTTTTGTGATGGAAATTTGAAAGAAGAGTGATAGTGAAAGAAAATTCTACCAGGAAGGCGCGAAGGAAAAATATGTGAAAGAAAATGTATCTGAAGAACGCGAGAGTGATAAAGAGGTGTCAAAACAGCGTGGAGGGAGTTTGCGCAGTCAAAAAAGAAAGAGAATTGGACTTAAGAGGGTGATGCATCCGTAACAGAAGCGAGAAGGAAATCTGAAAAAGGTGCGAGGAAGTCGTAAGCAGAAGTAGAAGAAGGAGGGATGGAAGGCAGTAGATCTGAATGATGGAAGCATAAAATAGAGCATCAATGGGGAAGTTTGTACGTGAGTGAAGGTGGAGTGAGAGAACTATATCGGTTATAATGTAAATTGTAAAGGACAGAAGTGTAAACGACGAGGTGTGATGAAAGTGTTGAACACAGGATGAATTAAGCCTCTTTGCGATTTTAAAGCAGAAATTGCAACTTCTTAAATGCGGATAGCAAAATATTTACCAAAATGTTACCGCTTTCGTTTAGTTTGCTTATTGTAGCTTTACTCCAAATTTCTGAATTCTCTGTCATTTTCCAGCAAAAGAAAACGCTAATTAGTCATCAATCAAAATTTTTTAATAATTGGTTGCCAGATGCACTTTTCTTTTACAGGATTATTTGACTAAAACTTTTACTACCTATATACAGGGTGTTTTTTTGGGAGCTTTAGTTAAACTTTTCTGGGAAAGTAAAATAGGTAGGTTTTTAAAAAATTGTATTTAGGAGTTACTCTGAAGGCCGAATCGATGTAAAATATTTTCAAAATGGCCGCACTTCCGGAAATACCGGAAGTAGATAGTAACTTCGGTATTTTAAATGGCAACCCCTATTTTTTATTGCATTTTTGCATTCTACGTGAAATTTCAGTTTGGATACCCACAAGTCGATATCTGCCATTTATGGTTTTTAAGTTATTTTGACTTTATGAAAAAAAATGGTGGATGCAGATGGTAAAACCGTGTGTGTATGTACTTATCGAATCAAGAAATTGCCGATGCCGATAACCTCACTGCAAATATAACTAAGATTAAAATTACGTTCTGAATTCTATAATCTCGAATTGGGTTAACACAAGATTCCACAATCAAATTTATATTTCTGCTGTAGTATTTACAGGTGTTGCAGAATAAGTTGTTACAGTAGCTGACACATGTTTCGGTCTGGTTAACAGCAGGCCATTATCAAAGCAAAAACTACAAGAATATTACAATTATGAGGTTTTTTATATTAGAATGTTACTTATTAAAAATAAAACATCACAACATTGGTAAACGTCGGTTTTGGCCGTTTAACCAGTGTTGTTTAAATCTTTTTCCCGAAACTGTGCAATTACCGGTTCCATAGATATGGCATGTGACCGTTATTAATGGGACACCCTCTACAAAAGAGACATCCATTAAATAAATATTAATCAAAAGTATATAATAGTACTATTCATGAAAAATTCTAGTACCTATTGAATGGTAATGCAGAAACAATTAGTCAGTGGCCTTGGCTGTGAAAATTTAGAAACCTTGGTGTTGCCTTTTGTTTGTTGATTAAGTGTGCCCGCACTCTAACCTTTAGCACATCGATAACTATTTATTTCTAATAGAGATCGCGTCATACACATCATACACGTCTATGCATCCTTACGTTTTTGCATACATTTTGGTCGCGATATCTCTAGTCGACAGTGCGAGAATATTAGGTGTTTTTCCATTACCTGCACATATAGCCACTACCAATTAGGAGATGTAATTTTTAAGGAATTGGCGAGAAGGGGCCACTAGTTTACCGTCATATCACCTTTTAAAGAAGAAAAACTTCAAACAAATTTTGGTAAATGGCTTAGTTCAACAAGCCGCAGGTGAGCTATTCATTACGTGAAATATGTTACTCAACACAAAATAAGAGAGATATAAAACATCATTCTTTCTCACACTCCGCTTTGAAAAACTTCATCCGTAAAAAGTGTAATTGTGCTAAAATTAATACCTTTTGCTTACGGCGTAGTAGTAGTTCCAATTTTTTTTGCATGTCATGAAAAAATATCTGGTGGTTAAGAATCCAAGTTTTCAACCTCCCACCCTTTGTGCTTCTCCCGTACCACCCCCAAAACCCCTGAAATTTGGTTGGTTTTTTAGTTTTTCAATCATATCTTTTTATAGGTTCATTTTACAAAAAAATATTGTTATCAGAAGACAGTGAAATTCTACACAACTTTGATATACACTAATTTTTTGTGAAATGTTTGTTAAAAACGATATAGAGCATCAGAGTTGCTTATATTTTTAAGAATTCTAAAGTTTGTATGTAGATGTTTTAACCAAATTTTATACTTTATCTCCATAATTAAGTTTTATGAGAAAATATTTTGAATTTATCGTGGTATAAATCCCCCTACGCTGCACCCTTACCAAAGGGGATGCATAATAATTCAACTTTCAACCCTTGATATATTTGAATCACTGAGATTGTAGGGCTTTGTAATATCCGTTTGAAAAAAAAAATTATTTTACTTCAGTTCAGCTTCATCCTTCATCCCCCCCCCCCCCCAACCGCAGTACGAATAGATATTTAAAGAGGAATAGAAAATATATGTAATAAGCGTTGTACTTGTCTAACTTCACAATCGCCACAAGAGCGTTTAAATATCTATTCCTACCGCGCAGGGGGGGGGGGGGGGGGTGGTGAAACTCGGCTGAAGTGGGACAATTTTTTTAATTTCAAAAGTATATTAGAAAGCGCTATAATCTCACAGTGATTCAAATATCCTCACTAGCAAGGGTTGCAAGTTTCATTATTTTGCATCCCCTTCGGTAAGGGTGCAGGGTAGAGGGATTTATACCGCGATAAATTCAAAATATTTTCTCATAAAACTTAATTATGGAGATAAAGTATAAAATTTGGTTAAAACATCTACATACAAACTTTAGAATTCTTAAAAATATAAGCAACTCTGAAGCTCTATATCGTTTTTAATAAACATTTCACATAAAAGTTGTGTATATCAAAGTTGTGTAGGATTTTATCGTCTACAATTTCTGATAACAATATTTTTTTCTAAAGTGAACCATTAAAAAGATATGATTGAAAAACTAAGAAACCAACCAAATTTCAGAGGATTTGGGGGTGGTACGAGGGAAGCACAAGGGGTGGGAGGTCGAAAACTTAGATTCTGAACCACCAGATGACTGTCTATGACGTGCAAAAGAAATTAGAACTACTTCTCATTTTGCAAGTTAAAACCCTCTATTCCCTGGACTATTTTGTCTTCCCTACCTATCGTCCAGGTCACGCATCCGTATAGAGCTGTAATCCATCCATCACCAAATGCTAATTATATTTATATTCAAGTACCAATCTAATCTAGTCTCCCCGCGCACCTTTTGCTTGAATGATTTCATCAGCAAACAGACATTGGGTTTCATTATGAGACGTAGTCAACAATTTAGTAGTATTCTTACATTAAAGCATTTTGTTCTTCTATCTATTAGCAAATTTTAACCCCCACGTATGCAGGATTTTCGTTACCACTTGCAAAACTATTTTAATGTTAAAATCTCCGATTACTGTAATATATGCATCATAAAACGTAATTAAACGATAGATTGTGATATTTTTAACTGTACATTGAAATTGTTAATTGATGGCTATACACACGTTTTGTAAGATATCAGGTACGGCAGTATTACTCCATTTGTGTTTACATTTGTTCATCATTAATATTATATTATTTATACATATTTATAATCTATTTATATTTACTAATGTCTCTTTGTACATATCTACACTGTTATTGTGTGTTATCTAGGGATATACATATTCATTGAGCATTGTTAGTTTGAACATGGTTAATTGTCCTCTGGCATTAAAGTTGTTATTGTGAATTAAAATACTTGGTCTGTGAAAATTTGGAGACCTCGGTGTTGCTCCTTGTTTTTTTGTTGATAAAGTGCAGTGCACTTCAACCTGCCACATCGATAACTAACTATTCATTTGTAAGAGAGATCGCCTTATACAGCTATGCATCCTTACGTTTTTGCATACATTTTGTCTGCGATAGCCCTTGTCGACAGTGCTAGAATATTAGGTGTTTTTCCGTTCCCTACACATAGCCACTACCAATTAGGCGATGCAATTTTTAAAGAATTGGCGAGAACAGGCCACAATGTCACAGTCATATCGCCTTTTAAAGAAACGGAAGCAATAAAAAACTTCAAACAGATTCTGCTGGATGGCTTAGCCGAACACGCCGCAGGTGAGCTATACATTACGTAAAGTATGTTACTCAAGATTTTCAGAAATGCAAAACAACCTATTTGTGCAAACAGACTATAGCATCTTTCAAAAAGTGGAGTGGCTGGACACCTTGGGAATCGATTTTACTGCACTCGCGTTAAAGAATAGTAATGTGCAGAAATTCATTCGTGAGAACCATCACTTCGATTTAGTTATTGTTGAAAATTTCTACAACGAAGCATTACTCGGGTTTTGCCACCACTTTCAAGCGTTGTGTATTGGGGTTAGTTCACTTTTTTCACCATATTGGTTTAACGGCAAAATGGGCAGTCCTGCTCCCCCATCATATGTGCCTCACTTTTTGGTGGCCTATACGAGCAAAATGAGCTTCTGGCAAAGATTTTATAATACAATAGTTTATGTGATATCAGAAGTTTCAAGATCCCTCTACGGCTATCGCAATCAAAATCGTCTACTGCAAACATACTTTCCGAAAGCTCCCCACTTGGACGAACTATATTACAATATCTCGCTAATGTTATACAGTGGCCACGTTAGCATAAGCGAAGCGGTACCAAATTTGCCAAATACAATTGACGTTGCTGGACACCACGTTAAGCCACCGAAGAAACTTCCTCAAGATTTACAAGAATACCTAGACAGTGCCACTGATGGTGTTATACTTTTTAGTATGGGATCTAATTTAAAAGTCAAAGATTTTCCAAACGACACCATGAACGCATTTGTAACCGTTTTTTCAGAGTTACCACAAAAAGTCATATGGAAATATGAATCCGAGGATTTTCCCAACCGCCCATGCAACGTATTAGCCCGTCCATGGTTACCACAGAACGATATACTTGGTAGGTATAAAATTCAATCCCGCCCAGTTTATTTTAATGGTCCTGACAGCCCACCCAAATGTGGTTCTTTTCATTACACATGGCGGACTACTGGGTACCATCGAAGCAGTGTACCATGGAAAACCAATCTTTGGCTTACCGGTATTTTCTGATCAGTACATCAACGCGGCCAGGGCAAAACAGTTTGGTTACGGGAGGTACATTCCATTTGGCGAAGTTAATGAGAATAACCTACGCGACGAGTTACGCGAAATATTATATAATCCAAAGTGAGCGGCTGAGGTTACTTGTGCTGGTCTAATTACTGTTTTAGGTATTCTGTAAATGCGAAAAAGAGGTCGAGCATTATGCATGACCAACCACTACCGCCGTTAGAAAGGGCAATATTTTGGATCGAATACGTTCTACGCCATAACGGGGCACCCCATCTCAGGTGTTCCGCCTTGGATTTAGCATGGTACCAGTATTTCCTGGTGGATGTCGTGGGGGCGTGTGTCGCACTTTTGGTAGCGACTATTGGTATAATTATCGTTTTATATAGAAAAATATGCCACTGTGCATGTAAACTCAGTATTACGAAAATTAAGAAAATGTAATTACGGTCGTCATTATTTATAGTTATAACAACAAACAAATACTTATCTTCTGTAGATTACATTATTTGGACTTAAAAATACTATTTAATTTTATCATTTATTGGTATTTACTTTTTTACAGGGTCAAAGTCATATGTCATTACTCCCCCTTGCCGCATTTTTATCCCTAAGAAAAATCTTCCGAAAGTTCGTCTGTAATTGTTGTCTCTTTGGATTAAAATCATTAAATGCATAAAGATAAAGATAAAATACCTTGTCTTTTCTAGTAGACAAAGGTGTTTTAAATGTGACAGAACAGCTTCCTTGACCAAACAAAAAAAAAAAACCCTTTGCAAGAGTATTTTAAAAAAAATGGTAAATGTAGGGGAAAACCCTTTCCTACGACAGTGGATTGTTTTTCGATGTAGAATAAGATATTCAATAAAACGTATCGGTTTCTATTTGGAAAAATTGATGTATCTTACACTTGACCCTTAACGGACCGTTATGTGAAAATGTGCGCATTTAGCGCCTCTCCATCTGAAGAATATTTTATATATCTTATTTTTTGATATTCCCGCTAGTTTCCGCAATAATCGACTGTCGCAAGATAAATGGGACACCCTGTATACAAATGAATTAAGTGGCAATAAACTCCAATAAGTCATCCCCTGAAGCTGATACCTTTTGCAGGCAAAATGGTTTGGTTTGATGTAGGAATGAATGAATTTTTTGTGAACTTTCCTTCCGGTTTATCATTTTACACCATTTTGAGCATCCCGGAGAGAATGGATACCCAAAAAGTTAGTATTAATCTTTATACAGAGTGAACATTTTCTCTGGAATACTGAATATACATTCAAAACAATGATTGTAGGAGCAGCATAAAGAACGTACTAGATCACATAATCAAATTTAAAAAAAATTAAAATTAGGGAAAACGGTTGGGTTAATTAATTTAATAATTTCACTAGTTTGCGTAGAAAAAAAAGCGACTCTTTTGTTAGTTATGTGAACATAGTTTATTGTGTCAAAGAATTAAATGCACAAGCCAAAGAACAAAACGAAACAAGAAAGTTTCCAAAATGTAAGTGCTTGTCAAATGTAATATCTACACACTTTTCATATCACAAGCGCAACAGGCTGCAGTGGTAATATCAGCAAAATTCGATAAATTTCAGTAAATTATGAAATTTTTGGAATTTTACGATATGTGAACTTTTCAAAAGTACGGCGAATTTCCAAAAATTACTAGAATATGAAATTTTGGCATTATTTTTGAAAGTGATAAAATGTAAAATGCGGCCATTCAAAAGGATTAGTTTGAAACTTTACTTAGAAATAAACAAACACGAAGAAAACATAAGGGGAGATCAATTGCTGTTTTAGGAATTTTAATGAAGACAAGGTGTCGAGAATAAAACTATTGTGCAATGAAAATATGTTTCTGGAAGTGTGGAAATGCCCGCTGTCTTATTGAAAGCGAATCCTTCATCGTTCGACTAACTGCTTTGTATACTATTTGCGCACAAGAAGCCTTCGAGTAGAATAATAAATTTCACGTTAGTTTGTTGTATGTGTAATGAGAATGGTTAACAATAAGAAATTTAATGATAAATAACATATTTTCATCATTTAAATAATGCAACTCATTACCGAAGAGATTTCACAATAGGTTAAATACAGCTATAGCGGAGGAAATAACAATGTGTCTTTCTTTTACTTAAATAACATAAGGAGCTCAGTAGCAGTAACGTTTACAATAAGACACACACTGGGACCAATTTCGATTCAATTGAATCTCAAATCACCGCCGTACGATGACTATACATTGACTATTGTTTGATGTAATTGTTGCCTCTGGAGTAGTTGACCAAAAACACCAGGAGGTATACGATGAGCTTACATCAAACACACCCTAATCCATTTAAAACTCTATAATAGACGCATTTAAAGCATAAAATTACACATTCTTCATTCGATTAAAAAGAAACGCGCGATGATAATAATAATAATGATACGTTTTCGGAGGAAAAAATTAAGATCTTGTCGAATTAATATTGAACAACCCCCTAGAAATCAGTGCGCTGTGTTTAGACACCCAACATAATATAGGGGGCGATAACTCGATAAGCTGACAATGAAAAGAATTCGAAAGGGGATTCGATTATAGAGCGAAGAAAAGTTGAGATTACCTACAAAATGAATCGACGTTACTCCTCGATATTTGATTCATATCGTTAAATTCAATTAAATTGAATGAGTGGTGGTTACTTAGGATTCTTGATATAATAGAAGGCGTTACAACTCCCGTTAACATTTTTTTTGTGGAACTTATTCTTATCTATTCTATTGAAACAAAAATAAATTGTCTGTTGTTGGCTAAACGTCATTCAAACGTCTGTCGTCAAACCGACCGATGATTATATATAAATAACATAATATTAACTTCTTGAAATGCGAATATCATTTTATATAAAAGGCGTACAATGGAAAAAAGAACAATAAAATTAGGTTCATTTTAAAATTTGAGCGTGCTGTTTGTATATTTGGTCATTATTTCTCCTTCTATAATTTCAAGATGATGAGCAGCTTTTTTATTCCTCGCGCGGGATTGAACCGTATTTATTTAATTAAGAGATTGTTGAATTCCCTGAAAGAATTATAATTGAATTTCTTCACTAAAGACACACTTTATATGAATGAACGGTTATTGGATGAGTAAATTATATGGGGATTGACAATCCTAAGGTGTACGAAAAGAAAGCTGTTATTTCCTTAACGGTTTGAAGCATTTATTACACACTCCACTTAATTTTAATTTCCCTTTTAAAATTTTTTTAGGTAGTTACAAGGGTTAATCTGAAATCTCCATGTGTGTCATAGCATTTATATAACATCTTTTAATTGTTTTTATTTATCAGAGAATCCGCCTGGTAATGTATCCGAAACGTAAAATTTAACGTGCTGATTATCTGTAAAAAAACGTTATTTTGCGTTATTTAGTATGGGCAAAATAACGTTATTTAGTAGGTATGGGAAAAATAACGTTTCTTACAGAAAACCTGCAGGTTAAGTTTAAAAAGTTAGTGATACATCACAGGGCTGAATATGCACCAAAAGTATGGCAGTAAACGCAAAAGAAACGGATTCAAAAAATGACAAAGCAAGACCTTTAGCAGAATTGAGTGCCACCATAGTTATACCATCAAAATGGATTATTTCCGAGAAAGTCGCAAAAAGATCTCCTAAAAGTGCGTTAGCAGCTTGAGTGTTCAAAAGGGTGTCATGTTTAATATGTTCAACAAATGAACTACCGTCAACCCGCCGCAACTGGCCTGCGATGTAAGAAAATGTGCGAAATTTCTTCAAGATTCGAAGAACCCTACAAATGGAGATGGAAAAAGCTACACAAGCTACATATGCATATTGCGTAATTATACATTATAGATATGTTGGTGGTCACGAGTTATATCCTATGCCAATGCCACAAAACCTGTACTGCTAAAGAAGGATGTGTATATGAACAAATAGAGATTCGTATAATAAAAAGTTTAAAAAAACCATCGCATTCATCCCTTATTTGAAGCAATACAACATTCTAGCATGACTATACATAGATTTTCTTTCACGGTAGATTTCCAAATAGACAGTGTGAAAAGCGATGGGGATATATACATACGGGAAGACATTTTTAATATTGAATCATCTGAATTTTAAAATCAACACGAGGAAAAAATAGAGTTGGGTGCGAAATGTTAATTAATAAAACTCTTGGGCGCTACTTTATTAAAGAAAAGTCTATACACAGATCCGCCCCAGGTATTACAGCCGCCTTATAGATTGGTGGTATCAAAGGAGCGAGTGTGACAAAAATCTTTTTTTTGCTCCGTGGATCAAATCAACGTTTTTTGTCATTCATTGAAGCATTGAATAAATTAAAGAGACTAGTGGCGCTTTTTCTATTATATTTTTTATATTTTTCCATATATCTTTTTGAATTTGGGAGGCAGCTTGTTCTGTAGAGTTTTAAACGCTCATTTCTGCGCCGTAGTTTTAATAATAATAATAATAATATTTATTCACAGGGAAACCCCAAAAAAGAACAGCATAGATATATATAACAATAATAAAATACCTATAACAATAACAAGTTGAACGAGAATCTTTACATCAAACTGTATTTGACATAATAAGGTATACTACCATCAAACAATTTTTTTTCTTTCAGATTTGGATTCAGATCATCATTGAAATTGATGTGGCTAATTACAGGAGTACAAAAAATAGCGTATGCAGTGCGTTCGAGATAAGAGGGTCACCTCAATATCTCTTTTATTTGGTGAGATACGAAAAATTGGTCAAATACAATTTTATATGTGACATTACGATCTATCTGGTCGCATATTCCAACTTCCGGTACCACATCCGGTTTAACCGGACATCGATTCAACTTTTGTTTTTAAATACAATGCCTACGTTTTCGGCAGCTTTTATATATTGTTATCATTTCACTATACGGTAACATGTATATATAAAGAAATGAGAATATATAAAAGTTGCCGAATTTGAGCATATGCTCTTATCACTTGAACAATATAAATAGTCAAGGTAAACAACCTGTTGGTGCATTTGTCATTTGGAGGGCTAAAAACTTTCTGTCTCATTTTAAAAATGTCCTGCTTTATGTCTGGCACTCTACTCACCGAGCCCGAGATGTGTTACTCTGGCATCCGCTCGTTGTGCTACCAGCATTAGGACTATAGGATTATAACGCCAGACTCTGTAAAAAGTCCTTATTTACTCAAGCCAATCTCTTCCTTTATAATCTCTAATTTTTTGCTATTGTTGTTTTCTACAAAACAAAGACGTAATTTTGTGCTAAAATTTACGGGAAGAAGGGTTGAAGAGTGCATTACGAATTCGAATGTTTCAAAATTTAAATTTCGGCCTAGTTTGATGATCGTGCTGCGAAGTTTGTTTTAAAGCTACCTAAAACTGCAGAACTGTTTCATGCATTAGGTATTAGAAAGAAAATTTGAGTTAAAAAAATGAAAGGCCGTGAGAAGTTTTACACCTCATTCCTTGCACTGTCATTATTTCAAGTAAGTAAGGAACAAATTTTAAAATATAATTAGAACTTTAGATCAATTTGAAGTGAGTTGAAATTTACCACTTGGGAAGGGGTGCAATTCTGTGATTATTTTACATAAATCAAAAGAATTGTTACTAAACTCCCGCCAGAATATTAGAACTCTTATGCGTGCTGCAAGTATTTCCCCTCGGGTACGGTACAGTATTTTTCCCACTATAATATTGGGACTCCCACTAGTTACGGTTAGCGGGGTTCCTGTAAAACTTTTAATAGATCATTCTCATGGGGACTAAAAATGAGGAAGTTTTTAAATGACAAATACACAATTTTATTTACTCCAATAATAAATGATCTGCATGCCGATTATTAAATTTCCGGCAAAAGTCGTCGCGTTATTGGCTACCAAGAGGTAATCACACCGAGCAGTATATTCACTGTACGTTTTTACCAAGGTCAAAACACACATAATCAAAACGGATGCACCAGAGATATTACCTGTGTTTCCATTTTCCGCAATGGAAACGGCCTGGGTTAGCTTCGCAGCGAGCTGCAGTGGTATACACATGCTTTGCAACACCCAGATGATGGTGAAAGGAATTAGTCCACTTAACAAAAGAAAACACGCCGTTGTGTAAGCGAATAGCTCCACTAAAGCAATTCCCTTCTGATCCGCAAACCAAAAAATCTCCATGTGGATTATCAACGTCGCTATTGCCAAAATCGATGATTCGCCCCACTCTCCAAAAGGATACCCCTGGGCTATCGTATAAAAGGCAAAAATCGTTTTCGAAATTAGATCCAAAGTGACACTGCAAAGACTGATTCCCTTCGAGTTTTTCCGATTGTAAATTGCCATTATCTGCGGTAGTTTCGAGACAATTGCTCCAATTACTATGGGAAGATTCCCAATTATTTCCAAATGTGTAGACATATCTCTAATACGAGCATGGTCTAGTTTTCAATTTCACGAAATAATTTTGGGCCCAACGTTGAAATATGTCAAACTGAAACACGGTGACAAAGTCACAGGCTCGAATTACATATACAAAGTGATCAGTTAATTACGACATGAAAAAGCATCTGTGTATATTTCGTGTGGCCATTGCTTCGTGACATGTTAAAAATGTTATAGTCAAGCTTGTGTTTGGTTTGGATTTAGAAAGGTGCGGGTATCCAAAAAAGAAAGTGGAACGTACGCGCCTTTACATTCATTGTCACATTTGTATAGTAAAATTTAGATTGAAAATATCTTCTCAGTTCGTTAGTTTCAGCGGCAATGTTATTGTCCAATTGTTCGTATCAAAAAATCAACGACGTGAAGTTACTTATTACTATGCATAATAAAGCGATACAAAAGGTGGCAATGAAAATATTTATTTTGGTAGGTATTACACAAAACTAACACTTGTGCCCATTATAAAAACACAATAAACTTATTAAAAGGTCTATAAATCTTTTTCGTTGACAGCGTTAAGAATAATCGATCGCCATATTCATAATAAAAGGCAAATCACCTTCAATTAAGAAGGGACGGAATGGGTGAATCGAATCATGACAAAATTTTGTATGTGACAGCGTATTATATATACTTTCTTCCTTGAATTTAGAGATTTAATACTATTGAAATGGAATACATTTGCATAAAGAGCACATGTGTAGCGTGGAAGCTTAACTTGGGAGCTTTTTATGTTTGTTCGCCAATGTCTAAGAGGCGGCGGCGCTTTTATACCAAAAGCCGTTTTTATGTGAATACGAGAAATCGCTTATTGTGTGTATTTTTCTATTTTCTGCTGATATGCGACTCTTGTACTCGTATTACATAAAATTCTTTGTATATCATTTCAAAATTCGAGGCTGTACAATTCGCTTCCCTTTGAAATATAATTTCTCCACTGTACAAAGGATTATGGCACAATGCACTTTGGTTAAATAAAATGCGACGTTCGCTAATGAAAAAAAGCCACGAGGAAATCGAAATTCATTTCATAGGATTAATGCTAGAACTCGAAAATACCTGTCTGTAAGGTATGGGGAAAGAAATTGACAGCATTCTGTATATTGGAAAACTATGAAGAACATGAAAATCTAATTCAAACCTATTTATGTGTGATCCATCAGCTAAGAGTTAAAGGACACATTTCCCTTACAGCAGCTGATAATCAGCAACTAAAAAACACTTTTTGTTGTAATTCCTTGGTGAAGAATCAATGAGTTCTACATTTCGAAAAATATCCAATTTTAATGAATTATTTGAATCATATTTGGGTATTACGCAATGACATTTGAAAATCAAAAGCTATTTGTGCCTTCAGATATGCTCTAATTATGGTAAACAGTTGCAATTTTAGATCACCAAGTACACACGTTTGACTTCTTTGTAAGAACATAAGTGCACCACTGCAGAATTCAATAGTAAAGAGGTTTCTATTTAAAAATATTAGTTTTCCCACCTTCAAAATTGAATCTACATTTTTGGACAATAATTATTATGCATTATTTATGCACATCCTGAAAATAGTGGTTATGCCACTTGTATTAGTAAAGCGAATTTGTTTTCCGAAGGCAAAAAATTTAGTGCACATTCGGCGTATATTAAAAATTGTTAATAAAAATTAAGGCCTTCCATTGAAAATGATGAAGTGCGGATCGCCTTAGCATTATGAAGTTAGCCCCCGCAATTAAACAAAAATGGTGTAATGAACATTTCTTTCCAAATAAACCGAAGACCCGAAGTGAATCGCTTGGTTCTAAAATTTGTATTTACTTTTTAGTTCTCTTTTCTGGAACCATCGAAGATAGAAGGGCTATACGGCTTATTTTCGGTATGCCCTTACTTTTTGACATTTGAAAAACAACGAAAAGGTCGTCAGATTTTTGATTAATTAATTAATTTTAACAATAAATTGTTCGACCACCATTTAATGAAATTTTGCAGTTTTATGGTCTGATCAAGGATTACAGTTGGTACTTTTTTAGTGTTTATTTCTTATGTTTAGAGTTACCAAGTTTCGTTGATATCCGAATTTCTTTCGCATTCACGTTTAAGGAATGTATCATCTTGGAGTAGGCATTTTGAAAATATGTTTACGAAGTCTAATAGAAAATACCTTAAAATTAGACGAGAAATAGATATTTGAAATTTGACCCTGGAATAGCGAATTCATGTGGTTTCAGATTTTTCGCGAATCCGTCCAGTCCAGCGCCAAAAGACAACCTTTTCAGTTTTGGTATGAGCGGTGACCTACTTCTAAATATAATAAATATGAATAAAGTCGTTTACCTTCGACAGTTCATCTATATTAAATTTAAGATAATGAATTGGATTCGTTAGATCAATTTCTTAAGTAACAATATTAATTACAATTGTAGAAAAAAATGTCTCCGTTTCCCTACAAAAGGATATAAACGTAAAAGCTCATGTTCCTTTATGTGTCGCACTTATATACCGTCTGTAAGGCTTTGTAAGCTTCAGTTCATTACAAATGGAGCTTTTATTCACTGGTCAATCTCATCTGAAAGCGATCTAGCTACAAGAAATGGATTTAGTCTTTTTATAAGGGAATCATCCCTTATATCGAAAAGTCGGTGTATTAAAATAAGCATTCCTGAGCCGTTCAGATTCAGATCCGATATACATTCGATACGGACCCACTTACTTCTTGTTGTGGACAGAGCCTTCTTTTATTCGCTGACAATCAGTTATTCTTTTGAAATCGTGTCCTGAAGCCTTTTCAACGACAGACTTTGTGATTTAGCTCCAGATCGCGGATAAGGGTTCGATTTTTTTCTTCTTTCGTGATCGGAGGGGTCAAGTTAACCTGAATTAACTGTAACAGACCTAAATTGACTTATTTTATTAAAGCGCGTTCCAGTCGAAGATTGGAAAAACGTAAAAATTTAATTTCCTTCTTGGAAAAGTAGAAACTTTTATATTCACCCCCATTATCCTTTAATGATTTCAGTCTCGTGCACTGATATTGCAGGTTGTTATATTGTTACATATTGATCGCTAAGTGCTCAAACAAGCTATTAATGCAATACATCGTTAAAAGTTTTAGACTTGCGTCGATTGTTCGCTTATACAGTAATGCTATATACCTACAGGTACCTGAGGCTTATTGTATTTCTCAAACAATACATTGTGAGGAGTTGTGTGCGACATAATTATAATTGTATTTCAGTTTGACTCGCAGAATTATAATTAAAAATAAGAACAATGAGGGCTTACACTTATTCAGAGAACAATTGTCCCTAATTTCCTACAAAATTCCTTGAAAATGTTCCTTCAAAGAAAATCTGGATTTGATTGTACTTCCAGCGAATTTCTGAATAATAAATTAAATTATTTTCTCTGTAAACTAACCTCTATAAAGTAAATGGTTGGACCTGCGAAACTGCACTTATACCATATGAATTTATTTATGTGTCAATGTTTGCTTCGGCATGGCATTTATTGAATTGCTTATGCAAAGTTTAACTGAGCATTTTCTCTCATTTTACGAGCATGGTATGGCAATCTAATTGGGAAGGTCAACTTTTCTAAATCCGTTTTCGCAATTTTGTACTACCTAATCTATTAAAGATGTGCATGTCCTGTTGCATATGGCAGACTTGTTGATAAAGTTTTGGAATCTCCCTTGTATTGACATTGAAAGATTCGAAGGTTCGTAAAAAAAATCAAAGGATGTCAATGTTGTTGTTTAACACTAATTTCAATTGGAAACCGTAGAAAGGCTCTGCTTCCACGCCCATGTAGTGCTTATGAGAAGTACACAAGTTTATCGAACCTATTGTGCAGAACAAGGCATAATGCAAATACATACTGTGAGTGCAACGAACAACGAAGAATTCTAAAGTAATGTTTATTGGTAGATATCGTTAGAGCACGATTGGTTATCGAGTGGAGACAGCCATGAGTGCGATGCCAAATTCAAAACTCAAAACGACCAAGTGTATACAAAAAAATATGATGTGTTTTGTTCTAGAACGAGAACACGCGAGTTTGCTATATAAGGAAATCGTATTACCTTTCAGGCCAGTTCCAATTTCAACCCTAAAGTAATAGATAGTTGGCGCTGTTATAAATTGTTTATATATGAGTGATAAATAATATATTAACTGAATATATTAACTGAATATATTAACTGAATATATTAACTGAATATATTAACTGAATATATTAACTGAATATATTAACTGAATATATTAACTGAATACATTAACTGTTATAAACCAATCCATTTCAAGACTGTTATAAACGTATTGTTAGTTAGTTCTAAATAAAGAAATCCCTTACCTAATATTACGTTACAATATTTTTCAAGAGTATATAGTGGCGTGCAAGAAATGAGAACAACGAAGTTAAGAAAAGATCGAAAGAAGTTCTGATACCTATATATTTCTTTTATGAATTTCTGTAGAACGAAAAAGAATTTTCTGCAAGAATGACGCCACGATTTAGCCAAATCGAAAGTCATTTCTAGAAAAAATCCAGAGAAAACTGTATATCAATTCAGACATGGCGAGAAACTTCCCACTTTCGGAAACGAGAGGACGTGCCTACTGCCAAATTAATCAAATTAATAAACCTAAAACGGTTTTGAGCTTACAGTATGTAACATTTACGCATGCTCTAGCGATTGGGTTCATTCTTGGTACTTGGTTCATTCTAAAAGATTGATTGTTTAAACTTTCATACAATCCCGATAGATCGCACTAAATTATTAGCGAATACTTACGACCGATTTCCCATTAAATTAATCAAAATGCAGCACATGAAAGAAGGGTCTCCATCTTCCACACGATACCCAAAATTCAAAATTTGACCAATGATTTAAAGGAGTTCTGCACGTATCGTAGTCATAAACAATACAGATAATCGAATTTACCGCCAGTAACAAAATGTTGTAGTAAATAGTGTAGGGATTTTATAAATGTTTTTCTTTCAAAAATCGATAGAGTGGTTATCAAAAAATGTTTTTCTTAAATGTTTGATTGATCGATATTATGATTATTTGAAAAAATAAAAAAAATAATTATAAATACAAATCTTTTAAGAGCTGAAAGATGGTTTTGAAAACTTTTGTTTTTTTTACAATAGTTCTTAAAATAAAGGAGTTATGACGATTTTTTTTCGATAAACAAAAGAACGCCAATAACTTCGAACCCGGGCACTAAATCAAAAATACAAATTAAGAAAAGTTGTTCTAACTGTTCTAACTGCGGGTTTCGGGTGTAACGACTTAGTTTGAACACCCAGTACATCAATTGAAATCAGCTCATTTAAATATTTGTATACAATTACGCATTTTGTGGTAGTTACAAGTAAATTAAAAAAAAAATATTAAGAGCCGAAGTGGTAATCTTTTACTATAAGTACAACTAACTCTTCGCGTTTTAATAAATATCGTTTCAGAATTGCGGCTGAAATTATTTTGTGCGCTACATGTTTTGTTGGCCAGTGGCGTACGTAGAAATTTATTCTGGGGGGGGGGGGATTAAACAAGTTCGTGGCACATACAGTCACCCAGTGCGTACTAAAAAGGGGGGGGGTAAGAAATAGAAATTGGGTTGCACAGGCGAAAAAGATTAGATCAGAACGGTATTTTATTTCTTACTGCTGACAGGCTCCTTTATTGCTTTTGCTTTAATTAGTCAACGAAAACTTTGAATAATAGGTATATTTATGGGCAAAAAACCAATTTTGACAAAAAATTCAAAGGGCTGTAACTTTTGATCTAGTAGCCCGATCATGGAACTGTTTGAAATTATGGATTCTACAGGCCACATTCTATAAGAAAATATTTTTTTCCGGTCGATCTGTACCAATTTTTTTTGGGGGCAAAAAAGGCAGTGTATAACCTTCCTTTTTTTCCAAAAATCCACTGCACCAAAATTTCTCGGGAAAACACTTTTTCTGATTAATTTGGGTGCGTAGAATCCAAAACGATTCGTACTTTTTCGATTAGACGTCTCAATCAAAAGTTATGGGCAAAAAAATTCTTGTTTTTAAAATTTAAAATTCTTATTTTCGTCATTTCGTGAAAGGCAGGACGCAGGTACCTCACCTCAGTAGCAGTACCTGATACCTATTTGTTATTTAGGGCATCAATGTAGCGAATTGCCGATCGATGCCGAATAGCCAAATCGTTGACTGCCAACGTGTGAGCACAATAGTTTCAATTCAGGCCCCTCCTTTAATTCAGATCCCTCTAACTTCCACATTTATTTTTTATACTGCGTGTTCATTTCAAAAGTCTCCACTCTTGATCTGATGTGATTATTGCTTTGAGTGGGAACACGTCGATTTAGGTATCGAGGGGAAGTTTAAAAATGGTATCTAGAGAATTTTAAGATTCATCCTTTCGCCCCCAGCCAACCTACTTCGAAATTTAAAATTGAACCCCCTAACTTGTCATCCATCGTTTGAAAGGGCATATCATTCTCTACTCAACCATGATCAAAAAAATGAAATCGATAGACGCATCAATATTAAGGGTGGATACCTTTGAAATGAACACAGAGAACGGATGAGAACGTGTTTATTTATTTATTTTATTTATTTATTTATTGTCCCTCATGTTCTAGGCCCTCAACAGGCTTACTCCCAATTACAGAGTGACCCGAATATTGCTTTTTAATTTAATTTTTAAAAATATTAGCGAGATGCGCATTGTAAATAAACAAAATGGCGGTCATCTCCCACCTGTATTAATTACAATGTGCTGCCACCATGGGTGGACGAAAGTGAACGAAAATGATTTCACCGGTGTAGTTCCACTTTCCACTTTGGCCTGTCCAAGTACGCTAAAACCACATTTGCACAGGTCATACGTCAGCTTTGAAAAGTAACTACGAGAAGTACAAACTTCATGTCTATATTTTTTAGTTCTCAAAGTACTTCCCAAAAACATCGAAAACAGGCAATTTGGAACATATTTCACTAAATTTGTTTGCTACATCAACATAATTAGGGAGGTTTTTTGTTCTATGGATACATTGCGAGACTTTTACCTGCTACTGCTCGTTGTACAGCGCACATAAAACTTGATTAACTTAAGTTTCGAGAAGCGCCTCCAGAAGTGACGGAGCCTGAAACGGATCGCCTCGGCCGCCCCCCGTTTACGCCGCCACTGAATTCAGATTAGCCAATTGGATTTCAGAAAGTGTTAATGCGATTCAGATTGGTAAACTGAACAGAAAATATCAAATGTCATTTAGATTAGTCACCTTAATTTGAGAAAATATTCATTGTAATTTAGAAAGCATCATAATATGTAATTCAGAATCATAATTTGGATTTCGAAAGGTTTAAAATGTAAGAATGTCAGAAAATATCGGAAATGTAGATAATTTTTGAATTTTAATTTATCGGGTTTCTTATTTTCATATTTTAAATAGAACGCCCTATATTTTAACACATTTTCGAAATCTGCATGAAAATCTGCGTCGTTTGACACCACATTTCCCTACCCAACATCAAAGGTTTTCAAGTTATTCAAGATTTTTCAAAATTTTTGAAGTTTGACTGCTTTTCTTTTGATAACTGCACCTATGACTCCATTGACTTGCATTTCAAAAAGTTTTCCAAAATCAATAATACTGACTTGATGCTACATGAAAATGATTTAAATTTTTATCGCCTTCTACAGGGTGTTTTAAAACTAATGGTCAATTTAATAACTTCAAACCTTAAAAAGTTGATTTTTCACATAAAACGTGCCTTATTTTTTGCACTTTAAAATGTCGAAACAAATTCTACATCGATCCATTCCCTATATCTGTTATGCTATTACTCTAAATTAACAGTGAAAACCTGAATACGTTTAGGTAACGGTTTGCGTGGAATAGCCTGTATAGAATTTTTTCTATGTTCAGTAGTTCATTTGCAAATGGATTTTAATCAAAGGCTTTAGCATCGTTTTGTTCACAACATACAAATATGGAGTTCAACGAAAATAAAAATATCGAAATGATTGTTGCTACACAGTTTTCTTCCATCTTACTTGCACGCTGAAAATTTTGTTAATTCTCCATTTTGTAATTAGAAACCGCATTTCCTTAAGAAATACACATTTACTCTAATATTACAGGTAAAAATTTAAGTTTCAGATTATTATTATAATATTGTGTCCAATATTCAAGTTCAATTCTTGTTAATGAAGCACCTACCAACAATGCTGCTTCGATGCTCCTATAATAATCTCACGTAACTTTTCAAGAGAGTGGTGGAGTATAGGTAACTGAATAGAAATATTGAGGGTGACAAATTCCCTTTACTCATCGTAACCGAAACTTTTCATTCTCTAGGAAATGCAGGGTATTTTTTCCCATTTGAGTTTATCGCAAAGACTAGAATGTGAAGTGAAGTAAGGCACAGAAATTCTTATGGGATGACAATTGTCATAATTGATTTGAAAACTTAAATAGTAGTTTACGCAATTAACCAGTTTTGGAATTTCCATTCTCTACTGAAAAATACAATTCTACAAAAGGAAACTAAATAGGTGCGGGAAATGTATACTAACATACGCAGGAAATATAAAATAAAAATGGGTCTCATAAAAAAAAGCAATTCGTAAAGAAACCGCGGTCAACTAATTTTGAATTAAATAACATCTCTCCCACCTCCCCAATTTATACCTAAAAGGTTTCCATTCGAAGAAAACATTAATTAATATAGGGTTGCGTACACCACTGACGTAAAAGTTGAAGGTAATGGATTTGGATGAATTTCTTCTTTCTGTTGTAGGTCAGTCACGATGCACGGAAATCCTATTGTAAAAATCACAAGCGGTTTCCTTAATAATCGTGACCGTTCGAAAGAGCAGGAAAAAGTCCCAACAACCTCGTTAATTTTGTTTATAGATGTAAAAGGCGCATGTTATCGATTTGATATAATATAATAATAAAGAGGTATAAAAAAGGGTTGAAAGGATCATACTCACCTAATTAAAGTTGAAAGAAATGCGAAAATTGATCACAACGCGTGCAGCAGAAAAAGAATCGATTATTTTCGACGATGTCCACCGGTTTATTGATCTTTTCGCAAAATGGAGTTCGATAAGAAAAGTAACATTCAAGATTTCGTATTTTTCATTTCAAATGTCTACACTGCTGTTCGGAAAATTTTTCAGAAACCAAAGTTAAGAGTGCGTAATGATTGTTCTAACCCTGGTTCTAACGAATTATAAATAAATTGTTTAAACGTTCATGTATCCCATATAGCTTGGACTCGAATGCAATTATGAGTGAAATTCGGCATTAAAACAATTAAAATGACTTACCCATCGCTAATTGTATCTGGTTGACGCATAAAAGGCCCTCCACCTTCAACACCACACTCAAAATACAAAATTTATTTAATGATTTGAAGGCGTTTCGCACGTATCGTAGTTGCAAAGATAATGGTAGTAATCGGAGTTGCGCCGATTTACCTTTCCTGTCCTTATCGCTACACTTTCTTTTCGTACCAGTTTCTCGCCTTACTGATTGCATTTTCACAAATATCCGTCGACCTTGGTAAAAACAATACCAAAATGCGATTCATTCCACCTGATTAAATGTAGGCTCTTTCAGAAAACGTTTTCGGAAAACTGAAAACTACACCTTTGACCAACTAACTACAGAAATTAGAAAAATATACGTTTCGACATCTTTTTAAAAATCCCGAATAGGTTCCAATTGACTTGAAACCTAGTTAATCTTTCAAGTCCAACATTTTGTTGTAATACGACTTTAAGCAATTATATAGTATTTTTGGGCAGTTAAAATTTAAAAAAACGGATCGGTCAACTTTAGAATGGATGGCGGATTTTGGACCTGATTTCTTCTTGAATTTTACCCTCTGTTTGTATCACTTGTAAACTTTCCTTTCAGCATTATGCACAAAGAATATAGGCCTTTCTTTTGGAAGTGGCATGCTAAGGCAAATAAAAATCAAACCAAGCGCACCAAATCAAAAGTTTCTAATTTATTCTTTTCAATAACTTTACATAGCGTCCTTTACACAATAAGTCTAACATGATCTAATTGCAATGTATGTATAATGAATAACATGTTTATAAATATGCGTAAGTCATGTAATGTCTATATAACATAGGAACCAAAGTAATATCAAGTTCTTATAAACAAAAAAAGAATAAAGGGTCGTTATCACTATTAAGGGAGATGTCTTACAAGTATAAAAGAAAACACATTTTTAACGATAAAAAGAAACACCATCTTCGTTTGAGAAACATAACAATAATTCTATGTACATTTTTACAATGCAGATAATGGAAAAGAAACGCGCGTGCTTACTTATATACAAATATTTACACTGAAGAATAAAAATAGGAGACGTACACAATGATTTATACAAATAAATAATGCACATTCACAACCTGTCAGGTCAAAATATTACGGTTAGCGGTCTACGGAATTCGCCTGCCGGGCCTTGCGCCGAATACTGACCTGGATATTGGGACATGGGTAAAAGACCGGAAGGCATTGCGCTGTTTTGCTGCAACGCGCTGCCGGGGTAGTAACCGGGGAGGCCGCCGGGAGACGCGCCCGCCGAGGAGGTCGTGGTGGAGCTCGAGGAAGACGTGCCATCTTGTCGTTCAGGTTTGGTGTCGGGCGAGTCGGACGATTTTGGCGACGCCAAGTTTGAAGGCATTGTCGGAGAGGCGTCCGAGTACATTTTTCCAATGTCTAATGAGTAATGGCGGGCGGAATCTGGATTGTATTTGCCGTCCATGTACATTTTGGAGGATTCGAAGTAGGCTTTGGTTAGTGCGGATGTGGAGTCTAGGTAGCCGCGTTCTAGGTAACTTTTGGAAGATGTGTCCATGTATTTTGGATCTGAGTACATCGACATTGCTAAACTTGATGGTGGCATGTAGGCCGATCGGTACTTATCGGCTTCCATTGAGTATTTCATTGCATCCATTGAGCTAACAACCTGGAACAAATAAAATATTCAATGATACATCCATTTTACTGCAGTCGTATGATTTCATTTGCTTCAAACTTTCTACTGTAGTTTTGGTATTCAAAAGGCTCGAGTATATTTACTCAAATAATATCCTTTTCTGACACTAACTGGCAGAGTGTTTTTTAGAAAGTAGCAAAAGGGCACCTAGTAATGTAGAACTATTATCGAAAATGGTTTTAAGAACCCACTGTAGGTATAATTTCCGTTAAGGCCCTATCCTTAAACTAAATATTATCTAGTTCGTTTCACGTAGATTCTCTAGCGAGAACGTATCTTGACCTAGTAAGTTAGTAATTCTCTTAGTCTTAGTAAATCTATCTATTTCTCCCCCTATATTCTTAATATTTCACAAGTTCATACGGGTTCTCCAAAATTCCTTCGGACATTCTTGGGAAACTTATTTAGATTTTTAATTTCTCGAAAAGTTCATCAGAGATTATGAATATCTATTTAAAGATTTTGATTTATATTTAATTTCTAAAAATTGTTGGGTAATTTTTAGAGATTTTTAAGAATCTCCAAAAATTCTTCAGATATTTCACAAGGACTTTCTTTTTCTATGTACAACCTTTAAAAATTATGCTAGGTTTTGTTACAAAAACAAAAAGTAAAAAAACTAAAATATTTTTCATAAAAGCGATTATTTTGTTTTCGTTAAAATTTTAGCAGTGTACATTAGGCACAAAGGATGTAAGACTGCCAAAAACTTTTTTTTAGTATCTGGTTTGGGCTAGAAAGCTGTTTTGTTAGGAATTTGGCACATAGTTTTTTTTCTATAACTGTAAGTACGAGTGAACGTGGCTGCTTTACCAGCAGGGCCCAATATACTCTTAAAAAGTAGAACCACCATTCGTACCTGACACCCTCTTGGTACTACTAGAGCACGTAATATCATTTCTTAAAATCTCTAAGAATCTCAAGCGGTCCTATGAAAAATATGAAGGATCTTAATCTACGTAAAAAAATTTGATGAATTTCCTCGTTGCAGAATCTCTTAGGACTTTCGACTCTTGAAACTTACCAAACATGAATTTTCCAGTAAATTATCTAAAAAACAGACCGAGGACCTAAAAAGATCAAACGAATCCCTGAAGGATCTTTGAAGAATTTAGAAACATTTAAATGATTTCTAATGGAACTCTGCAGACCCTTTGAGAACCCTTTGAACATCCCTGAGAGATACACAGTTATAGATATCCAATAAAGTCTGTCAGAATCCGTAAAGAATCTCTAAAAAATTATTAGGAACCTCTAAAATATATATGAATAGTCTCTAAAAAAAGTTGGTGATTATTTAAATATCTACAAAATATTGTGAAAGCCTTCAGTGAGCGTGTTATAAGGTTTTTTAAAAATCAATCTATTCCAAAAATAATAATCTTCCAAAAAATATATAAAATTTTTAGAACTCTTTTGATAACATTAGAACTGCAGAAGATTTTTGAAGAATCTTGGGGGGTAGCCTGGCATGTCCGAGTTTGTAGGCAACCCAAAGGAATATCTTTTAACTTTTTGAGAAACCTCTAAGAATCCCAAGAAATATTCTAAAAAATGTGGGCATCTCTGACGGAAATTGGAAAAAAATGTCTATGAAAAACTTCTGGGAGACCTTTGAAACACATTTTAAGTGGATTTCCTAACTGTTGCTAGACATTAAATAATACACTTGGGGAGGCCCCTTAGAATCTTAAGAAACCTTTAAAGAACCGTTAACAAATCTCTTAGGAACCTGTAAAATACATCCAAAGGATGCGTTTTTGTTCTAAAATTTAAAGGATTGTGTATATAGTGCGGCAAAGAATACTACAAAATGGACAATTTCTAATTTCAGAACACATATAGACGTGAACACAAATCTTAATAGTTTGGTATCAAAACTAAAACGATTCTATAAACTTGGTCAAACAAAATTACAATACACGACAGTATACCATTACTGTTACACTAGAGATTTTTACAATTGAGCCTTTTGCAAGACAGTCTTTTTGTTGCCTCTGTTATTAATGATGACAAAAATGGAAACAAGAGGCTTAATTATATTTTTTGTGGTCGTTATTCAATGAACTTGCTTTTTATATCTTTGAATTCAACCCTTTCTCTTTTCCCTTTCGAAATGATAACAATTCAATAAAATACCAATTGTGAAAATTATACTCATGGAGGAGAAAAGAAGGTTGAAAATCCCGTGTCTGGGCACAAAGAACCGGTGTAATACGTTATGCTTTTGTATCCATGGATAGCAGCACCTTGCGGGACAAAAGTGACAATATATCATGCCACACAATGCGCTTTAACGATTTAAACAAACGTCTGCGTTACGCGTAATCATTTTATTTCTTGTGCATATTTTATAAACACACGGTATAAGCATTCTTTAACATACCAAAGATGATTAATACCGTATTGTGTCCGCCTTTATTTCACCCTTCCGATCGATCCGGCGGAAAATTATCGCCGATGTGAAAATCGGAAAAAATGCGCGGCCCCGAAATTATTTTCATATGTAAATATTGTATAGAACAATTTATCTTGACGTTGTTATTTAAATAAGGTAAAAGCGAGGGTGTCGAGGAACCGAAGCTGCTTTAGCGTGATTGGGACCGCGTGCTCGCCTGGACAAAGATTATTAAATCAGGATTAGCGGTATGTTTGTGACTGGTCTGAGGCCTGACTAGTTCTTTTGTAACAAAAACAAGCATTGATTTGTAGGCTATCATGTGGATACAGGAATGCCGAGTCTATGAATACCAATTAATAACTTCCAGATGTAGGGTGTTCGATTATAAACTGCTGGGTTTATCGTCCCAGACCTTGTTTGTGGATTATAAAGCCAATGAAAATTAGGGTTTATATCTTACGCCCGACTTCTGCAGTAGCATCGTTCTCGAAATGGTACCAGCTCAATCAACAAAACTTGAACAGCATTTCTCTTCCAGAAGTTATGATGGAAATAAACTGCTTTTACGTACGTACGTTTTACGTACCAAAAGGACGTATATGACGAGGGTGTTTTGATCGTAAAGCGATACGTAACTACTGACAGTTAAATGAAATACAATTTAATTTATTATTTGCTCGCGGTTACATAAGTAGAAGTACGTAGGTACAATTTGAAACATTTCCACTTACGCTGATTGTCTCTACAGTTTAACTCTGTCTTTCACAGAAAGAGAACGTGGCAGTGCATCAGTGTATGACAGCACCTTTCAGGAATATACAAAATAATACTCCGGATGGATCAATTTTAGAAGAAAGGAGCTTCCAGACACAAAGATATGGCCCAATTAAGTTGTTATTTAAATGCACCCTAATAACCAAACGCCAAGTTTGTTATTTTATTATGGTAGCACACGGAGCAACCCGAAAACCACCAAAGGCCTTTACCCTCATAGTGATAACAGCTTCTTTGTTGACGAAAAGTCGCAAAATTCGCCATTCACACTTTCTTGTTTCTCTCTAACTCTAACCTAACCCTTCTAACCCTAAAAGTAATAACAATTTATGATGGTAAGTGCCAAATGTTCTATACACACATTTTTGCTGCACTCGTGCAAATGTTTAAGTAATCCATTACGGTTTTAATAGGAAAAATCTGTAAAATGCGAGGCATTTTTTTATAGAACTCTATACGGGAACAACTCGAAAACTTCCATTTTTGTGGACCTTTTTCAGTTTTTCTATATTGATTGAAAACGAATTGTATCTGTTTTTCCAACATAGGGTTTTTCAAGGAGCATTAAATTACCTACAATCCACTCTGTGAAATTAGCCACCAAAATGCCGAACATGAGTACATTCCCTATATCTGTATGCTGTTACTCTAAATTAACAGTGAAAAACTGAATACGTTTAGGTAACAAGGGTTTGTGTGGAATAGCCTGTATAGTATTTTCCCTATGTTCAGTAGTTCATTTGCAAATGGATTTTAATCAAAGGAGTTCCACGAAAATAAAAATATCAAAACGATTGTTGCTACACATTTTTTTTCCATCTTTACTTGCACGCTGAAAATTTTGATAATTCTTTATCATCCATTTTATCAAAACGATTGTTGCTACACATTTTTTTTCCATCTTTACTTGCACGCTGAAAATTTTGATAATTCTTTATCTCCATTTTTAATTAGAAACCGCATTTCTTTAAGAAATACACATTTACTCTAATATTACAGGTAGTTTTAAGTTTCAGATTATTATTATAATATTGTATAAATATTCAAGAAACAAAAACATGAATTTTTGTTAATGAAGCCACTACCAACAATGCTGCTCTAGTATAATAATCTAAATTCTAACGTAATTTTTCAAGAGAGTAGTGGAGTATCATAAAAAACTTGTGATTCTCTATATAAATGCAGTGTATTTTTCCTATTTGAGCCTGTGGCAAAGATACTGTACCTACTTATTAAGTAGAATCAGATGAATATTACGACTAGAATTCGTGCAAATGTTTAAGTAATCCATTACGGTTTTAATAGGAAAAATCTGTAAAATGCGAGGCATTTTTTTATGTAACTCTATACAGGAACAACACGAAAACTTCCAATTTTGTGGACTGTTTCAGTTTTTCTGTGTTGATTGAAAACGAATTGTATCGGTTTTTCCAACAGCGTTTTTCATTAAATTACCTACAAATTACAGGAATCCAATAGCAAGCCAAACTACACCGCATTCTACCGAACTAATTAGGGCTGTTTAACCGTATTAGTAAAAATACGGAAAAACATTCCGCATATGCCATGGAATGTCTACTATAAAACAAATCAAATTCTTTCAAAAAGTATTATATTTAGAACAGCGAAATCAACATAAAGAAACACCAAATTACTAAAAACGGTTTCCTAAGATAACAATTTACAATAAATGTTCGAATAAGTCACCATTAACTGCAAGACAGTAACCAAGTCGATCATAAAATCCATTTCGAACTGCTGCGAATTGATAACTGGATATTTTTTTGCTTTAGAAAATTCCATGGCATGGGGGTTTTATTTTTCCAATTTTCCGTCTTTATTATGCAAAAAATTTTTTTCTACAAAAAACCTTAATACATTTTTGCTCTAAAATAATTTGGGGAGCCAATAATCGCATCTTATGAATTTTAATTGAAATCCCTATGATGCGTTACGCAAGTCACCACCCTGTATAGCATTTCACAGTATAATATTTAATTGCATTGTCTCCTAAAAAATTGAAAATACCGGCCATATAACAAGGCCAAATCTGCCCCCAAAGTGTACAAAATTTATATAGCGCCCTTAGAAAAAGGTTTCACGTTCTAACATTTATTAGGCTATTCACAACTTTGGGGATAGATTTCACCCTGTTAGAGGGGCGGTAAGTATGTTCAATTTTTTTTTTAGATACTTAGGGTCAATGCGAAACACCTAATACATCTAGAATGTGAAACCTTTTATTAAGGGTGCTATATGAATTTTGATACTTTGGGGTAGATCAGACGGGCAGTAGTAACAATTTTTTTGCAGATACTAGAGCTATATGCGAATTGATCTGTAGATAAATGTGCTATATGAGTTGTTTTTAATACTTTGGTGGTAGATTTCACTCTGTCGGACCGGCGGGGCGGTAACGGATACAAGGTAGAATGCGTGTGCTATATCAATTTTGTATACTTTGGGGGAGGATTTCGCCCTCTCAGACGAGCGGGACATGATTGTCAATTTTTTTTTTGGAGATAGGATAAATTCATTGTACTATCGACTTTTACAGCGTAAAGTTCTTCGACAATCTTTAAAGGTCATTTCTACCCCTAATAGTAATAACAATTTTGTGAAGTTGACGAGGGGTCGCAGTATACACTATTCATTAATTCTCGCTTCTTTCTAATAGGCTATTGAAGTCGTAATGGGAATAATATAAGCAACTCAAGGCAGTTTTTTTATGGGACTACACGCAACAATCCGAAAACAACGAAACTTTTTGTTTATACGAAAGGGCCCAAAATTCAAAATTCTTGTACTTATTGTTCAAAATTGTAAGTGGTCCAATGAGATCTTAATAGTAAGTAATATGCAAAAGGGAATACAATTTTTGGTGGGACTACACAGGGTAACCCGAAAACCACAAAATTTGTGGATTTTTAAAATTTTTCTGTGTACATATTGTTAAAACTAACTGATGTATCATTTTGTTCACTACACAGTTGTTCAAAGAACATTAAATTCCCCACTTTTTGCACTACGTACAGTCCTTTCTCTATTCCTGGATGACTACCGATGAATAAATTTACACATTCTTGCGGTTCCGTAACCCTAATGCAACAATTTATAGAAAAGAAATTGGTACCAACACAACAAGATAGTGACATTTTTACACCTTCTCACGATTCTACCATCCTGATACAACAGTGTCTAAGGAAAACTTCTATCAGGATAATAGATGAAAGAGTGCTCGTTTAGAAATTTATACCTTCTTGCGTGCACGTATTCACAGAAAAATTTGTGACAGAAACGAGGACAGAAGCACAAGAAATACATATGAGGTGTATCCGGAAAGAATCGGGTTTGATTTTTCCCTGAATGAAAGGGAGCGCACCGATCAGTATCGTTTACAGCACGCATGGTCAACCTTTTTTTCCAAAGAGCCAAAATAAAATTTTTCATATGCGCTACGGGCCACATTTAAAAATCCAAATAAAAAGTATGTATAAAGAAATTAATAATCATCTATTTCTTTTTGGTCTTGACCTATTTTGTGCCTTCGTAAAATCGTTTTTTAAAAAAACAATAAGTACTCCTGAAAAGTGAAAATTCACACCATTTTGCATACAACATTTACCAGACGTGAAACAAATTCCCATATTCAGCTTGTATCCAAATTTTCATTCTTAAGATTTGTTGCAATATATGGCTTAAAAATATTTATTAATCCCAAAACACGTGTCGTTTTATTGATTGGCTCACCCGGTATATATCACGACGAAAATTCTGGAAAATACCTGGCGATATCTCTGAAACAAGAAATGTATCTGCTTTCAAACGTCTTGGAAGCTTTGGATCGCGTCCACTAGATGCTGTATGTGTAATATAATCATTAGTCACTATAGATATAGAATAATCATAATAATCATATTAATTCATTCTAATCGACGGGCCAGATTAGGGCCGCGGGCCGTGGGTTGCCCATATATGGTTTACAGGGAGTAGTGGTGACGAGTGTCAGACTGTCAGAGGAGCGAGGGAACGAGCGGCAGTTGGTTCCGAAACGTGCATTTTTCAGTATGATCCTGAAATATGCCTATGAAAATTGGGAAAGCCGTTGGCAGCGTTGCATGCCCAAGGGGCTCACTTTGTAAACGTTGATTAACTCAACAAAAAAGTGAATAATGTTTTTATTTTGAGACTAAACCAGATAATTTCCGGGCACACGTAATATATGAAAAAGGCATATATTAGGAAGTCATAACACATTAGAGGGTCCTATTTGTGTATTCAGTTGGGCTTCAAAGAGTCAAGAGTGTAAACATTTTTTATCAGGATATAACCGATTACGTGAAAGGCATCTGTCCATAAACTAGCTACACTTTCTGCGTTTCTACTTAATATATTAAATACCTACATTAAATTGAAAGATGCTGTGTATACAAAAAGTTGAGCCCGATCGATTTTAAACTGGGCTTCTGTAATTTTGATCAGTTTTTAAAGGGAACAGGAAACCTTTACCAAGATGGGAGATGGTATTGGTGTCTAACAAGCGATTTTACACTTTCCTGCTTTGTGTGGTCCCAGCACCATTTTTAAAAGGATAATTCCTGTAAGGGGCACATGGGACATAAATAGAGGACCTACCAATTTTTAAGGAAAAAATTTCCACAGAGAAGAATAAATACTTGAGGAAGTGTATGTCAAGGAATTTAGGCTTTCTTGGTTATGTGGTCTTGATACAATTTTTGTAGCAACAATTTGTAGCTATACATAAACATGCACGAAAGCTAGGGAAATCTTTCAATACATTTTATATACGGTTCTGTGATTCTGATAAGCATTTTAAATAGGAAAATTTATCTAAAAACGTGAGAAAGTGTCTGTAATAAACTGTACACCTTTTTTTGGGATTCTGATAACCAATTTTTAAGAGAGAACTTGGTACCAGGAGTAAGGAGATGTAGGTAGGAAGAGGTCTGTCGATACATTTTACAGTTTCTCAAGTTGCTAAAATTTTAATACACAATTTTTAAATGTATTAGGAGGACATAATATCTTTCTCATTTTTATACAACAATTTGCAAAATTGAGGTTAGGAGAAAATAAAAGAGGGGCAGGGGATTCCTGTGTTTAATTTTTATAAAAAGGCGCCGTTCTTACCATCTGCACGTTAGTAAAGTAAAGTAGGTATTGCTTTGGGGAAAAAATGACTTCCTACTTTTTTGTTGGAAATACACGTTTTGAAGCACAAGGAATGCAATTCCCACAAAATCTCGATGATGTTGATCTGTATGCTTGTAAGCCTCATCTCCGGCTAAACGGCCGAACCGATTGGAACCAAATTTGGTAGACATATTCTTAGACATAGGTAAAAGGAAGAGCTCAAAAGCTTTTGGATAGATTTTTATTATTTTGGAAGACAAATTCGCGCCATGCAATATTTGCCATAAGAAGATGTAAAATATAATGTATCTATCCTTTTGATGTATAGGTATTAGTCCTAGTGCTAGGCGAAAAGTCAAGAATCACCATGATGATATATGTTCGAATATTGAAGAGGTAAAGACAAGCTTGGGTAGGGTAGTGTGTAATGTAATTATATCTAATGTGTTTCTATAGGCTGTACGAGAGTGGAGGTTATGTGAACTATTTTATACACTTATTGTAATTTTAAGCACCTTTAAATATAAAGGCAGGGTGTAAGATATCGGCGTCATTGTGGCGCACTACGCGGAATACAAAATGAATTGGTCTCCGGTCTCCGCATTTATTCAGAGCAACATTCGAGAAGATTTATTAATATGATGAGAAGAAAATCACTAATTAGCATTATGATATAAATCTCAAGATAAAGCACGTATATGCGAATTGCATAAATTAATTGTCTTGTGTCATGGTTGTTTGATGTTATTTTCAATAAGCATAAATAAATTCAATTAATGTTTGTTTTGCATTATAAACGTTTGCAACCTAGTGATGAAGTTAAATCGAAGGCACTTTCTTTGAATGTACTTAAATTCAGAACTATGTCACAGGTGTCCACCAACAATGAATGTTGGATTCAATTAAATTTTTATAGGTTGTTTTCCTTAGCGGTTGCACTTCCTCAATAGAAATTTTAATTATGTTGCATATTGATGGTTGAAAAGAGTTCGAATTGTATTGAATAAAAGAACAGACAAGAACCCACACATGATGGCTCGTCACATATTGTCCATATCTAATGGTCGGTTTCACGACCGATCACTACTACATGACTTAGCATATTTTCCTAACTAAAAAACTGGTGGAGAATTTCTCACACTTCGTTAGTTACGACAAACATAAATTGTGCGGTGCGTGTAGGGTTTGGGCGCAGGCAATCAGCGTTCTTGTTGTTCTTTGTAATCATTAATTCAAAAGACATTAACGAGTTTACTTATAAATTACAATTCGGTCGAGATTTATTTTGGAAATTAACCTACCTGCGCAGGTGACGTTAAGCCGGCCGACATGGATTGTTGAGCGGCGGCGGCGGCGGCAATTGATGCCGCGCTTAGAGAACCATAGGCGGCGGATGGGTTGTAGTAGGACGCCATAGACTGCGTCATACTGCTCGCTGCCATGCCTGTAAGTAAAGAAAAAGTTGTACACACCGATAAATTCACATATTATTTAACAGCGCTTGAAATTATTATGGATAATAAGACGGTTTGAGAAATTATCGGTACATGAAGAGTGAATAGGATTAACATTTGTTGCAGAGTCACGAATGACAACTTAAATTATAGATAGAGTCATCAATTTCTAGCGGGTTGTAATATATAATAATGTTTTTCTAATGTAAAATCATACACGTATACATCTGTCATTCTTTTGTACCTAACATTCACGTAATTGTATGATGTACACTGTACGTAGGGGTACGTACACCTTTGTATCGAATGACATAATGAAATAAGCTTTGATTGACAAGTAAATGCGTATACTTAACAAACATTCGCTAATTTAGCGGCAATAAATCTTACTTACATCTAGTGAAAGGGATAACCTCAGAAAAACCTGGTCCTCCCAAACTTTTTCCTTTTCTGCACCATATTGGCACATTTGCTTTATCGACCAACTCCAAATATCGCTTTAGGGGTCCATGGAACTTTTAGATTCCATGAGCATTAAAATTGGCCCAGTTAATTTAACTTCAGATCGATACTTCCATTTGGAAAAAAGGTGTTATAGAAGGGATGCCACGTTTGAAGTGCCGAAGCACAAATGAAATGATGACAAAATGTTCAGGGGATACATGCAAAACTTGAATTTACCACCGTACGGCAAGGATATGGAAATTGGCCTCAAAGGCGTCAATCTCTTTCAGAAAGCCACAACTGTAAATAGTTTCAGAGGCTTAACCGTAGGCAAAATAACTGAAATAACCTTTATCTTCCCATAAGAAAGCCAGTCATAAGTATATCTTGGAACGTCAAATTTCAAGCCGAATCCGTCTACAGTAAAGTAAAGTTAACCACCAAAAATGAGCAGTTGCTGCAGGAGGAACAAGTTTTTCTCATGCAAGGCCCACATTTTTAAAGAATTCAACGGAGATGGCTTGAATTGTGCGAATGATTGTCGCAAAGGGGGAGGGATCTCTTTACACGTGTACACAAATTTTTAAAGGCAGCCTGGCACACATTCAAAATCTACGCTATATAGTCCAAGAGTTAAGCTCGCCGCATGTAAGTTATTCACGATTTACATCTACAAACAGTAACTCCGGGGTAGGGGGGGGGGGGGTCTCCCTTAAGACAGCATTATTTGAGGGCCATCTGACACACGCTCAAGGTATAGGACTACATACTGCAAAAAAATTGTGGGCTTCTAGGGCAATTCCTCTAAAAGTAGTTCAAAACGTGGGTCCGGACGGACAGACGAGCAGACGGACAGACGGGCGGACCAATGGACAAAACGCAAACAAAAGCACATTTTTTTTAATTTTAAAAAAAGTGCGTTATTTTTTCCATTCGGACTGAAAACGTATGTTGCAATTTTATTGAAAATATTTAAGGGATGATATGTATAGATTAAAAATCAAAGAATCCGTGTAATGAATAATGAATTTTTACCTTTATTCTACGTTTTGTTCTTGGTTTCGGACCTACCACTTCACTATCCCTTTACGATTTACGTGGATCGTCCTCCAATGTTCCGGTCTCGCGAAATTCGCATTTTCCTGCCTATCTCGTTCTCAAAGAGCACTTTAATGGTATGCAATAAACGTTTTTTGAAAATCTTAAAAGCACCCTTGATTTTTCGAACCCTAAATTATGTCACGAATTAATGTCTAACCATCAGAAGCTCAAAATTCAATTAGGATTTTTTCCTTTACAAGAGACGACCAAACAATCGGGGGACACACTGTATATATAGTGTGTCCCCCGATTGGCCGACCCATATGGGTTGCTTCGTAGAAATTTATATAGGGATTTCAAAGGATTTCCAAGATTTCGAGGATTTACCGAGGATCTCAGAGGATTTTTAATTTTGTTCAGAATGCAGATTTTACGTGATATATTCTCATATGGTCAATGGTCATCCAATAAATACTGATGCTTCTACCGATCATTCCTCGAGTAGACTGTGGCTTGACTTACCTCAACTATGTTTGTAAGTACAGAAACATATAGCTACCTATCCTACAAAAGAAAGATTATCTATGAATTTCTCTGTGATAAATTACGTACTGAAACACTCGTATCACAACGAGCAAGTTGAAATGCGCTTTATATGACATGGAAGCCTTTCTTTTAGTTAACTCACTAACGAATGGGCGGACGGACCGAATTCAGACCTGAAGTATATTATCCATGAAAATTATTCAATAAATTAACCGCTGTGCTTAAAAATCCTTTTAGGGTAGACGCAGTTTCATCCAATCATAATACAGTGTCCATTTAAAGAGTGGCTATGAGAGTATATCGGAAAAGGGAAAGAATATCTACAAATGCCGAAAAGCGTATTTGAGGGAACACCGAGTATGCATAAATAGTGTATTTGGGAAAGTCATTGGCATGTGTTGTATTAAGAATCCGCAATTTTAACACGATAAACATTCTTCTTCAATACGACTACAGATATTAACCCTGAAAACTTGCAAAAAACAGAGAAAAAAGATGGAAATCCCTTTAAAAAAAGACAATTTTTTTTTTTTTTTTTTTTTTAGTTTTTTTAAAGCAACGACAACAAAGGTCTTACGCCCAATTTATTCGCTTCAATCGTTACTTCTTATTTAAAGCATTCTAAACAAATTGATACTTTTTAGGAAATCCATCACCCTCCTCAGACTCTCCTGACCCCCATCCAAGACTTCAGCAATGTTTCCACTCATACCTGCCACATTCCTCCGATCTGCGTATTTTGGACACTCTACTAAGATATGGTCCACAGTGACTCTATCTCGACATACATCGCATACCTCTCGTGTGGTTTTTCCCAGCAGATGTTGATGTGTCATACGAGTATGACCAATACGTAACCTCGTGAAAACAATTTCTTCCCTTTTCGATAAATGGTAATTTATTTTGATTGCTTGTGTGCTGTTTTGAAATTTATACAGGTAAGTATTTGCATCTTGCCAAGCAGAGTTCCATTTCTCATACATTCTTTTTTTCAGGTGTTTTTTGAAATCACTTGGATGAATAGAGATTCCATCATAGACTGTGGAGTTCGTCGATTCTTTTGCTGCCGTATCTACAGCTACGTTACCGGCAATCCCAGCATGACCTGGGATCCAGATTAATGTCACCCTAATATTAATATTTAGTAGGTATTGTATACGATCTTTTATAATGCATATCAAAGGGTCTACAGAATTTGCTTTATTGACTAATGCATGCATGGCACTTAATGAGTCAGAGCATATGACTACCTGCTTGGTATTTTCATATTCACAAAATATCAGTGAGTGCCATATTGCGTACAGTTCTAAGACATAGACGCTGGTGATGTCTGAATGTCTCCAAGCATAACTTTTCTGGTTGACAAACATAGCACTAGCCGTTCCCCTTTCTGTTTTAGAACCATCCGTGTATATAATTGTAGCATCCGGATATTTTCCTATAGTTTCCCTAAAATGCATTCTGTATACAATATTTGATGTTTCGTTTTTGCTGAACGCCGATATGTCCAGTACCGTATCGATATTATCGCACAAAATCCAGGGAGCGTAAGGTGTAATCGCATATTGCATTAAATTGGGCCTTTCTTCACCAAGTGTACCTAATAGTTCTAATGCCCTGATTATTGCAGGTCTACTTACAGTAGGCCTTCGCTGGTACTCTAGTATAGTGTCATTATCGTTTAAAAGAATGGCATTTCGATGGTTTCTAATTGATAACATCTTAACAAGATAGTTGCATAACAACATCTCTCTACGTATGTACAGAGGCGGTACACCCGAACTTGCATATATAGACTGTAGTGGACTAGTACGGAAAGCGCCAATTGATAGCCTAAGTCCACTAGTATGCACTGTGTCCAGCATCTTTAACGTACTTTTTCGCGCAGAAGAATATACGATACTGCCATAATCTAGTACTGGCATTACGAAAGATTTATATAGATGTAGTAATGTATCTCTACCACAACCCCAGTTAATGTTACATAAACATCTTATTAAATTTATTCGTTTTTTACATTTAGCTGCTAACTGAAGGGTGTGATCCTTAAAATATAACCGGTTGTCAAAAGTCATCCCTAATATTTTTATGCTTTCTGCTATGGGGATTCTTATATGATTCATGTATAATTTCGGGTTTTCGTGTTCAAGTCTCCGTCGACAGAAATGAATTGCCTTGGTTTTCTCAGTGTTAAATTTCATACCCATCGAGTCTGCTTGTTCAGTTATTTGATTTAAAGCGTTTTGTAGTTTATCTTGGATGACTGCCATATCTGAATGTTCATAGAAAATTATCAAGTCATCCACGTAAAGCATAGAATTAACTTCGGTATTAATGGTTGAAATTAATTCGTTTATTCCTATTAGAAATAACGTGCAACTGAGAATTGACCCCTGAGATATTCCGTTCTCTAAGCTGTGTGCTTCAGATTGCTCGCTTCCTAACCTAACTGTAAAAGTCCGACCAGTCAAAAAAGTGCGTAGTGTGCAAGGTAAGTTTCCTTTCAGACCCCATTTGTCCAAAGCCTTTACTATGTTATATGTCCACATCATTTCGTATGCTTTTTCTATATCGAATGTTATGGCCACGATATGATTATTTCTCAGAAATGCATTCAGTATATGAGCTTCTAAGTGGACGAGATGGTCGATTGTTGACTGTTGTTTTCTGAAACCCGCCTGACTCGGTGTTAAGCAATTCCTCCTTTCCAATATCCACATAAGTCTTTCATTTATAATTTTTTCATACACTTTTCCTATACAGCTTGTTAAAGCGATCGGTCTGTAATTGTTCGGGCTAGTGACATCTTTTCCAGGCTTAGATATTGGGACAATGATGGATTGCTTCCATTGTTCAGGATATGTACCATTTTTGAACAGTTCATTGTAAATACCTAGTAGTTCTTTACGTTTGGATTCGGGAAGTTTACGTAACATTGCATTAACTACATTATCTGGTCCTGGTGCCGTGTCTTTCGTATCACAAATCGCGCTTTGTAGCTCATTTCCGGAGAAAGGTAAGTTATAAGTAAAGTTTATGTCCGTGTGGAAATTAATATAAGTTTCATTTCGCTTCTTAGTTTCCCGAAAATTTTTGTTATAATTTTCAGAGCTACTGTTAGCCTCAAATTGACGTGCTAGACCTTCAGCTATATCTTTAGGGCTATCCAAACGATTACCTTCAACTATTAGGATTGGTGAAATTTCTTCCACAGGTTTACCCATAATTTTCTTTACCCTTTTCCAAACTTCGCTGGGGTGCGTAGTGTTGTCTATGGTAGCAACATAGTTGTGCCAGGAAGCCCTTTGTGCGGTCAGAACTACTCTACGTGCTTGAGCCCTTGCCTTTTTAAAGTCTATCAGATTTTCTAAAGTGGGCTGGTTCCGAAATTTTTTAAAACACTTTCTTTTCGTATCTATAGCATCCTTAACCTCTCTAGACCACCAAGGTACGTTTCTATTTGTAACTACACCTTTTGATTGTGGAATCGCTTTCCTGGCCGCAGTGAGTATTTGATCTGTAAAAGCAGTAATTTTATCTTCTATCGGCATATTTTCATGGATACTCGGAGCATCTGTTAAGATTTCCTCAAATAAATCCCAGTTAGCCTAGGAAATATTCCATTTCTTAGGCAGTGTATAATTTTGTTTATGAGATGGGGTCGATAAGAAGATAGGGAAGTGATCACTACTGCACAGGTCATCATGTACTTCCCAAGTCAGTTTAAGTGCCACTGGGGCTGATCCGATGGCAAGGTCAATAGCTGAGAAGTTGTTACCTTTAGCGTTGAAATGTGTAGGTTCTCCTGTGTTAAGTAAAACTAGTTCGTTGCCATCCAGAAGGGTTTCAATTAAGCGACCTTTCGCATCCGTAAATGCGGAACCCCATGCTATTGAGTGAGAATTAAAGTCTCCCACAATGAGGAAGGGTGTTGGAAGTTGCGGGAGAAGCTCCTCTATGTCCTCTACTCTCCAACGATGCGGTGGTAAGTACAAATTGCATATGGTGAGTTTAAATGGGTATAACACCTCAGACGCTATAACTTGGAGGTTTGAATTAAGGTTAACTATTTTATGTGGAATGTTGCTCTTTATGAATATAGTTACCCCACCACTTGCTCTATTATTTCCAGTAAAGTTTTTGTGATAGTTATTATAACCCCTTAAGACAAAACGTTCATTTTCCTTTAAATGCGTTTCCTGGAGACAGATGCAATATGGTTTACGTTCATTTATGATTTTCTTTAGTTCACAGTATCGAGTCCTTAAACCATTACAATTCCATTGTAGAATACTTTCTGGTAGTGCCATTTTACATGTAAAATTAGTATAAATAACACTCAAGTAAATTGATAAAAATGTGAAAAGACGCAGGACAAACTATTTCGATAAAACAAACAACACACGGATGAAAATTTGTTAACACGAGTATATATGTACACTTAAAATTACTTTTCCAATTTAGTATCACAGATTTGAAATATCACAGACTAATCAATTTTTTCTACAAGATCACCAGCAGGCCGAGATTCTTCCATCTCGGTCTGTGATATTCCACTAGAAGTAGAGCAGTTATCTTTGGGTTTTCTAGGCTTTCCTTTGGGCCAACCTTTCCTTTTTGGTTTAGCCTTCAGGTCCTCGTCGCATGGAGAACTGGGTGCTCTTTTTCTGTTCTCCTTCGCATTGGCCCCCTCTTCTATATCCTGAGAAGGAGGTGGCATAGCTTTTGTGTCTGCTATAACAGACCTAATAGTCGGCATTACAATATCACATACATTCTTTGATATCGTAACGACTAAATCCGGTACCATTTTTTTAATTACATCTTCAACAGACGGTTCTTTAACCTGTATCGTTTGAGCGTATGTTTTTCCAGTTACAGGGGTACGTGTGATTACTTTCTTTTTAGCTTCTGGATATGATAATCCCTCTGTCACTTTGAGCCTTTGAATAGCTACTTCATTTTTATAAACGGGACACTCTTTCGAATTAGATAGATGGTCGCCTGCACAATTCACACATTTAGGTGGTTCCAAACATTGCTCATCATTTACGTGTCTATTTTTTCCACATACACATTTTTCAGGAACATGACATCTTACTGATGTATGACCGAATTTTAAACAATTCATGCACCTCATTGGGTTAGGAATATAAGGTCGAACTTCAAGATTATAAAAAGCAGCTTTTACGTTTTTTGGAATTTTAGTTGAATTAAATGTTAGGATGTGGCAAGGGGATTCAATATATCGTCCTTCTCTTTTCACGGAAATCCTTTTAACATCTATTACACCTTGCTCCGTCATACCTTCTCTAATTTCACTCACCGTACAATTCAAGAAATCCCTACAGTATACAATGCCTTTGCTATTATTTAACGTTCCATGGGGTTGCACCTCGACTTCGAATTCGCAAAATTTTTTAATTTCCATTATCCGTATTGCTTGCTTCTTGCTCACCGCTTCAATCAGAAGGCCATCTTTTGCTTTTTTAATTGTCTTTATATCTCCGGCTAAGCCATAGATTGTACGGGAGATTTGGAAGGGGTTTACCCTGGCAAAATCACCACCGTCCGCTCTTTTAACAAGCAAGAACCGAGGAAAAACCATCGTCTCATTGCTTGTAATCGTTTGGGGTGTTTTCTGGTGTCCCCTGTTCACCATTGTATTATCACTTCCATTAGAGTTGTCCAAAACATAGCGTGGGTCGATATCCATTCCAGAAGCATTTACATGCGCCGAGGCCTGGTTTCCTGCCATCGACGCCGAGCAGACGCTTGATCTCGACCGGGTGAGGCCTGCACGCTCCGCCTCTCTCCCTGCCGGATCTGGGGACAATCCGAACCCCTGATCAGTAAGTTGTAGGCGCCCCGAAGGGCTCGAAAAATCCATTAACATAAAAGGTCGTTTCCGGTTTCGCATTTTATCGCTACTGCCAGCGGGCCATGGCCTTTTTTTTTTTTTTTTTTTATAATTTTTTTGAACATTTTTAAAAATAGTACTACGTCATTGGGTGGTATTTTTCATTTCAACAATTACACCATTTGAAAATTTTGTGGGTTGCCCTATGGGGCGAGACCAAACTGGAAGTTCACATCCTATTTTTGTTTCATGCACAGCTTGTAAAAACCTCGAAACGGTTAAAAATTTCTCGTGCACCGACGCATACGGCCAAGGCCTATTTTGTATGCGTTGGAAAGGAGTAACACTAACATTCAAATTGGTGAGAGCGTACACAAACCCTACGACCTGTAGATTTACTAGCCTTTTTTTGTTGAATAATTAGGAATCATTCACTTCAGTTTTCAGCCACCTAATGCGAAATTCAGTAGCCAATCGTACACAAGAATTTGAGAAAGTACGTAGACTGTAGTCTTTATCACACAGTCATTTCTTATAGTATACAAGATTTGAGTTTCGAGAGGAATCTCTTTATTAATGTCTTTTTTAATTTGTTCCAAATTTATGGAAAAAAATGCGTGTGGTATATGCATGGCAATGAGGTTTAAAACTTGAAACCAATTTCATGCAGTTAATAATACTTTATTTTCAATGGCATATTTTTGTAGAAATTCTTATATTCCATTATGCATTCCTCACATTTAACGATTTTGTCTAGTAATAAATTTAACTAACTACCCCATAAAAGAAAATGTGTACAATAGCTTCAATGCATTTGTCTACTACTACCATAGAAAATCAATCAGAAAACAAACATTTTTCCACACACAAAGGCGACTTAAAAAGGGCCCTGCAAGAAAAAAGAAAACTTATTATTCCGTAATGGCGTGACTAGAAAATTTCGTGTTCTAATGAAGTACTCATATCATTAGGATAATA